TTTTTTAGGCAATTGGGGTTAAGTGACTTGCCCAGGGTCACACAGCTAGTATGTGTCAAGTATTCGGTCTGAGGCCGCATTTGAACTCAAGTCCTCCTGACTTCAGGGCCAGTGCTCTATCTACTGCGCCACCTAGCTGCCCCCAATACATGGATATTTTTATTGGATTTAAAGTGGAATGAAAACAGTCTAGATCTCGAGTTAAGAAAAAAGCTGGAAGAGGCCTAGCAATTAGCCTATCACTACAGCAATAAACAAATGAATTAACTACAGATACATGGGTCACTGGAAAAACTGAAAAGCATTACACTTTTAATATATAGAACTCTGAAATTCAGGAATTTTCTGTACATCCAATAGTCAAAAACAAGGGCTTAGATAGCCAGCTATCGATATTTTACTAAGTGAAAAGGGAAAAAAAAGATTCACTAAGTGATGGTTTCTTTTTAAAGGAGGCCATTCTCAAGATTTGTTCACTCTGGAGAATTAAGGGATACATGTAAGCTTAAAAGATTCTCTCATTCTTAAAAAAAAATATTAATGATTAAATCAGGTGATACCCATCAGAACATGACCCTGACCACGATAAAGATGTCTACTTCCCAATTTCAAAGTGAGCCAGGATGATGAATGAATGCCACTTGCTGTAAGCAAGGATTCTTAACCTGACTACCATGTACCCCTCTGCCATCTGGTGAAACCTATGGACCTCATCCCTGAATAATGTTCTTAAGTGCATAAAATAAAATACATAGGATTATAAAGAAAACCAATTAGACTAAAATACAGTTACCGAAATATATTTTTAATGAGTTCATGGATGCCAGGTTAAGAATCCCTGCTTTACAGGTTAAATGGTCTTAACAAGTGACCTTTCATTACAAATTTAACAAAGCCTGGTTGGGTAATACATCATATACCAAATCATAATTTTGTTTTCCTTGCATTCTCTTCAACATATAAAATAATGTACTGTTACTCCCCCAAAAAGATATCCATTACTGTCACCAAGAAATAAAAACTTACACTTAAGAATAAGTAAAGAGAAATCATTGGATTTTTTTTAAAAGAAGAAATCAATGAAAAAAAGTGAAAGGGTACTTTATTAATGATGATATTCATCAGTCAATCTAATCAAAAATAACAGGAAATTCTCAAATGCATTTCAGAGCCCATTCTTTTTCATGCAAAAAAAAAATCAGCAGTTCTGACTAAAATTAGAAATCTGAATGAGGGCTTTCTTGCTACTTATTGAGTTCACTAATAACCACAACAAAATACAAAAGGAGATAATTTTCAAAACAAAACAATTTTCCTATGAACTACTTATATAATAAAATCTAAAACTGAATTATTGGTTTGTGGGTCAATGATATTTAAGCTGAAATCATTTCTCAAAAATGTTTGTTATTCAACTATACCTATGATGCTATATCCTAGAAGATGAGTCCAATACTTCCATATGTCAATAATGTCAATAAAAGGATTCTCCATGAACATTTCATATATATACAATGTACTGTCACAAAATTGGATTGGCACAAAATACCCTTCATAAATTACTTTCATTTGAGATTGATAACAAAAATACATGAGGCTGAGGTAATGATATCATGGCAAATACTCAAATAGTAAAATAATCTATAATCCCAGTAACATATGTACTGCATGTATGTATATATTCCTTCCATCGATGCAGACCTACCCCTCCCCCGTACAACATTTGTCCATAAGCTTTGGGGACTCATACGGTGTGTTCAGGACCTTCCTTATTTTCTTCACATCTCAAGGACCAGTGAAACACGTATCCATTGTTCTCATCATGTGTCAAGCCCATCTTTATTGATCTTACATTTCTTTAATGACATCCTTTACTCTAGTTATGGTGAGTAAAGACAAATAAAGTACTACAAAATGCTCTTTGGAAAAACAAATTTGTACCATAGTACTGCACAGGTTTTAATGAAGTAAACAAATAGGAATGCAGCTTCTTTAAATAAGGTAGTTCTTGAACTCTGCAGACTAATAAAAAAGTTTTTCAATTCCTTCCATGTTCCACCACCCAGAAGAAAATTTTAATGAACAAATTACAGACATCTCTCAAAGGTCACTCACTCTGAAACACTCTGGTCCTTTAATGTGATGTTAAAGTAATGCAGTCACAAAGGTGAAAATTTGCAATAAGCCACAATGGCTTTTGAATTCTGGAATTGATGGAATTACAAAGGGCTGCAAGTAATTTAGTTGTGAAATTTAGCTAAAATTTTGACATGCTAAAATTCTGTTTAGTAATGTTGAGCTAGGTAGAATCAGCAGTAACTCAACATTTGCCAGCTAATCCACAAGTACACCCTTTACGGATGCTATCCAAATTTTTTTTAAAAACAGTAATGTAAAAGGGGCTTCAGCAAAACTTAAAATAATTTTAAATGATATAGAATCATCAATGACATAAGATCAGCTGTCAAATCTTCTTTCCACTTAATAAAAAAAGGCACAGCACCCTAATTTTAATGGTTCTTTAACGGGTGCAAATTCACTGATAAAAAGAGAAGTTACAATCACTAATTTGTGACTGTACTTATATGTAAACTAATCTGGTTGTGCTTCTACCTGCCTAAACTGAAGTAAACCACTGTTTAAGAGGTAAAACTATTTATTACAAGGGAAGCAGAAAACTGGGAAACAATTTTTATAGCCAGTATGTCTGATAAAGGCTTCATTTCTAAAATATATAGAGAACTGAGTCAAATTTATAAGAATACAAGTCATTCTCCAATTGATAAATGGTAAAAGGATATGTACAGGCAGTTTTCAGATGAAGAAATTAAAGTTATCTATAGTCATATGAAAAAATGCTCTAAATCACTATTGAATGGAGAAATGCAAATTAAAACAACTCTGAGGTACCACATTACACCTATCAGATTGGCTAACATGACAAAACAGGAAAATGACAAATGCTGGAGAAGATATGGGAAAATTGGACACTACTGCATTGTTGGTGGAGTTGTGAACTGATCCAATCATTTTAGAAAGCAATTTGGAACTATGCACAAAGGGCTATAAAGTTGTACCTATGCTTTGACCCAGCAATACCACTTCTAGGTCTACATCCCAAAGAGATTATAAAAACAGGAAAAGAACCCACATATACAAAAATATTTATAGTAGCTCTTTTTGTGATGGCAAAGAATTGGAAATTGAAGGGATGCCCATCAATTGGGGAATGGCTGAACAAGTTGTAGGCAACCCTGGAATCACTTATATGAACTTATGCTGAGTAAAGTGAGTTGTACCAGCAGAACATTGTACATGGTAACAGCAACATTGTACGATGACTAACTTTGATAGACTTTTGCTCTTCTCAGCAATACAAGGATCTAAGACAACTCCAAAGGACCCACGATGGAAAATGCTGTCCACATCCAGAGAAAGAACTATGGAGTCTAAATGCAGACTGAAGAATACTATTTGCTCTCTTGTTTTATTTCTTCTTTCTTGTGCTTCCACCCATTGGTTCTAATTCTGCTTTCTAATACGACTAATATGAAAAGAGGTTCAATATGAACGTATATGTAGACTGCACACCGTCTTGGGAAGGGCAGAGGAGAGGGAGGAGGAGAAAATCTAAAACTCAAAAATCTTATGGAAGGGAATGTTGAAAATTAAAAGTGAATAAATGAATTCATTAAAAAAAAATTTTAAATAATAAAAGAAATTGAAAAAAAAAAAGTAAAATTGTTCATGCCTTAATTTGGAAAGGAAGGGCATAAGAACATTTCCAAATTTGTTCAAGGCACACAACTGCCCTATCCTGTCTTCCGGACAATGGACAAGTCCCTTCACCTTTCTGAGGGCACTAAACTAGATCTAATGATCTCTAAAAGTCCATGTTATCTCCTCTCTTAGAATGAACATTGCTTGAGAGCAGGGCCTTCTTTCTGTGCCTTTCTTTGTATCCTCAGCACTCAGCACTGCGCCTGACACACAGTAAGAGTTTAATAAGTGCTTGTTGAATAACTTACTGATATTCTATAATTCTATTGACTTCTCACACTTGTGGAATCTTAAAATGAAAAAAAAAAACCTCCAAGTCTACTACGTAACTATATTAGATTTTAGCCTACAGGACTACTTACTAATCAAGACAACAGAGGATTAAGTTTAAGATCAGTTATCATTAATGCAATAAATAACAGTAATTTAACCTTAAACTTTTCCTATAAATATACTATAAGATTTCCACAACCTCATCCCAGTAAATCATGTGGGCTTTGCTCATTTATAACATTTGGGGAAGGAACCAAGTGTACAGGTGTGAGTTAGAGTGAAAAAACAACTTAGACTTGTATGGTCTGATGCTGAGTGAAGTGGGCAAAACCAAGAGAACATTGTACACGATAACAGCCACGCTGTGTGATGACTACTATTGATAAACTTAACCCTTCCCAGCAATACAATGGTCTAAGAAATCTCCAAAGGCCTTGTGATAGAAATACTATCCACATGCAAAGAAAGACCTATGGAATTTGAATGCAGATCGAAGCATATTATTTGCTATTTTTTTTCTCTTCTGTTAAGTTTTGTTTCCTCTTTCTGGTGGTTCCTCCTATTGGTTCTAATTCTTCTTTACAACATCACTAATGTGAAAATGTGTTTAACATGAATGTATATGTATAGCCTATATCAGATTGTGCACCGTCTTGGGAAGAGTGATGGGAAGGAAGGGGGAGAAAAATTTTAAACTCAAAAGCATATGGAAGTGATTGTTGATAAATCAAAATAAATTAATAAAAAAAAAACTTATATTAATTTCTATACAATTTCTAAAATTTCATAAACCTATACCATGCACAGCCAGAAAAAAAGAGAAGCCTTTCTTTAACCAACAGAAAGCAAAATCCATGAAAGAAGTTCTCCCTCCAAAGAACCTACAAAGAGGCATCAGGTTTTGTTTTGTCTTTTTCCTGAAAGGGCTGCTGTTGTGCTATACTCACTTGTGCTGCACATCTAACTGCTCCATCAGCTCCTGCTTCTGGGATTCCAAGTTCTTCACTTGCATCTCCTGGTTCATTATATTCCATTGCAACTCAGAAATTTTCCCCTTTAACTCGTTGATGGTCTGGATCCAAAAGAAAGGGGGGGGGGGAAGAAAAAGAAAAAGGCAAGACCATCAGGTTAACCAATTCCTAAGGCAGAATGCGGTGATATCAAACACTGATGAACAAAGGTGGAGTCACTCATCCAAAAGGCCAAGCAGACTGGTAAACCCCCCGCCCCTCCAAAACAAGAGGCAGTAAAGAAAGGCCCTTCTCTTTCAATCTGTCACTTGAATTCTCATTTTTAGGATTTACTCCCCCACCAGCAGTGTCAGAAGCATTCTTCTCAGTCAGAATACACAATAAAAAAATGAACTGGCCCTCTCTGCAAGGAACCAGTTGCTCTACCCAATGATCGTAAGGCTGTTTTAGAGTACCCACAGTAAGAGTCACACAGACAGTAAGCAAGAATAAATAACATCCATGAAAAATAGGACTACAGAAGCAGAGTCGGTGCACATTCATCCACAGCATCCACATTCATCCAGGCCAACGTCGCCCCCCACCTCCAGTCTGGTTCTTCTCACACTAACAGTCATTCTGAAAAACGAATGTTAAGTGCACCCTCTCTCTGTGCCGAGACCAAAATAACCTTTAGGGAGCATCCAAATCGCCACCAAGAAAAGAGCCAGAAGGAACACAGATGGCTTGCCATGATCTTTTCCCTTCCTTGATTTCTCTTCCCCTTCATCCCCCTTCAGAATCAGCAACCATGAACTGAAAAGGGTCCTCAGTCTTACCTCCTTCTTGTAAAATAGCACAGTCTTTGATGAGCCATTTAAGCACGAAGACAGCATCTGCTCTAGTTTTAGAGTCCTTGGCGCTCTAGAATTATCACATGCACACAAGAAATGGAAGCCTCTACCCCTACCCCAAAGAAAAAAAAACTAAAGGATCACAGGGACCCTCAGTCCTGTGTAACTTGTAGAAAGTGAATTAATCTCCCCTGGCTTCAACTTCTTCACTGAGAAATGAATTATATGATCCCTAAGTTTCCTTCCAATTGTAACTCCTATGATCTGGAAATGTGATCTCTCATGCTTTTCAAAGACTCACCTGATTAGCTTCAGCTAACTTGTTCTCTTTCTCCTGGAGCTTCTTATTTGCTGTGTCCAGATCCTGTTTACGTGACCTATTGATTTCAATTTGTTCCTTCAATTTATTCTCTGCTTCCACCTCCCTCTCCTGGAGCTGTTTGATACGGGTCATAAGCTCCTGGTTGCGGTCAGCCTCTCTCTATAAATGAGAGAAAATAACTTCCATTCAATTCCACAGAATAAAGTCTAGGCGAGAAATAGGGTGGGCTCACAGCCAACTCACAGCGACCCATACAACAAAACAGAAACAAGTCACTATAGCAGCACTTTCTATGATGGAGAAGAATTAGAAGAAGAGTAGCTGCCCATCGATTATGGAATGGCCAGACAAACTGTGGCACCTGAATTGTAATGGAACAATACTATGCTGTAAGAAATGATGTCTGTGATGAACAGAAACATGGAAAGATCTATATGAACTGATGCAGAGTGAAGTAAGAGCCAAGAAAACAACATATACAATGACTACAATAATGTAAAAGGAAAGAACCACCACACAAAAAAGAAAAAAGTCAAAAGTCTCCAAAGAAGAGATATGAGGGGCACCTAGGTGGTGCAGTAGATAAAGCTCTGGCCTTGGAGTCAGGAGGACTTGAGTTCAAATCCAACCTCAGACACATAACACTCACTAGCTGTGTGATTCTGGGCAAGTCACTTAACCCCAATTGCCTCATATTTAAAAAAAAAAAGATTAGGTGATTTGAGAAACATCACATAACTAGTAAGCTGGAGAGAAAAGACAAAACCTCAGGTTTCTTAATTCCTCATACAATTCCTTTTCCACTCCTCCCCAAAGGAAAAAGAGTGCAAGGAGAGGTGTCAAGCTTTTCAATCCCCCCCCTCCAGACTCCAGCACAGAGCCCTCCCAGCAGCCGCTCTGCTAGCAAGCTCACAGTTTAACTGCCGAAACTGAACCACAGTGCCGACAAAATCCACTTACCAAAAACTTCTCTGAGACCAAGGCCCAACCAGGGGAATAACACAAAGGATAACACTCCCTGAGCCAGGCCTCGTACTTTATACCAATTCAAACTAAATGACAGCCAGGGAATTCATAACAAGCCATTACCAGGGAACCACATCACCTGGGTTTTTTTAAAAAGTCAAATTAATATCACACTGAGACTATCTTCACTGTTTTCGAAGCAACCAAGCAAGGAAAAGTGTAAGGATATTCACTACAGAGAGGACAGGGAAAGCTTCCTCAGAGAAAGGGGGCTTGGGAGGTAGAGGGAAGAGACCAAGGCTTTGTAATCCAATTCTCAGCTTTCAACCCTGGTAGCATTTCTGCTAAAATTGATTAGCACTTATTGAAAAACCCATAGCAAATTGCTCTGCTAATCAAAGCACATCAAGTCAGGGATTTACATACTAAAGGAGGATTATGCCACATCACCTCAGAGAAGCTGAGGAATCAGAGCCCAGGCTGTTCCCCTGCAGGGCTCTGTCATCACTCAGGCACAATGCAAGACCCAAGTATGTGCTGCTTGTTTATGGATGGGATAGGGGGTTTCCTTTGTAGCCATCTACCTTTCCCAATTCCTCTATTACATACTCAGTGTCTGCCAATATTTCTATCATTTTCCCAGAGGAAGGAAGAATGCCAGCAGGTCAAATCCTAGACACGGCTGCTTACTTAAGCAATATAGCTCAGTAAACCCATAAGCACATTCAACCCAAAAACTTTCAAAGTCATCATTTAGGCTTCATTTCCTCTCATGTGGGTGCTACAATTGTCACCATTCCAACTCATCGCTGTCAAAGATCTGAAGCATTTCCAATTACCTAAGTCATTTAAATAATTGGCCCAGAGGAAGAATGCCTAAGTGTTCCAGACCCAAAGCTCCTCGGCTGCATGCTGTCATGTCACTGTGGGATTTTGCAGCTGACTGAGCACTTCTTTATTTGGCAGGTATCATACAAGATCCCAGTTCTCTCGAGAGACTTGTCTAGAAAGGGTTCAGCCTCTAGCTCATACCCACCTCATAATTCCTGGCATTGGCTGTTGCTGCCTTCTCAAGTTCCACTCGAGCCCTCTTATGGCTCAACTCCATCTGTATCTTCTCCCGTTCTACCTGGATAAGGTGCGATTTCGAACGGATCTGCTCAGCTCTTTCCTCCAACTGTGGACATCACAGAAACACAGAATGACAGAATGTGAGAGTTAGAAGGGACCTCAGAGGCATCTAGTCCAACCTATACATGAAAGGAACCCCTACTATAACAAACTTGTCTTCCCCCCACAAGATCTGCAAGAAGCAGGGAACTTATCACCACTCTGGGCATCCTATTCCACTTTTGGACAGCTCCACGTGTTAGAAAATTTTTCCTGACATCAAACCTAAATTTGACTCTGAATCTTCCACCCATCACTCTTGCTCCTGCTCTGTGGAAGAAGTTTAGAAATGTAATCCCTGTCCAGCATACACCCCTTCAGGTACTTGAAGAGAGCCCTCATTCCCCAAAGTCTTCTCTGCTGCAGGTCAAAGATCCCCACTTCTCTCAATCAATCCTCATATGACATGGACATGAGTTAGCCTCCCCAGGATACTTTGCAGCTTCTCAATATACTTCCTAAACTGTAGTGCTCAGAATCAAACATAATGCTCCAGATGAAGTCTCATGAAGTACTCTAAATCACTTTTGATTAGAGAAATGCAAATTATAACAACTCTGAGGTACTACCTCACACCTATGAGACTGGCCAACATGACAAAAAAAGAAAATAATAAATGTGGGACAGGATATGGAAAAACTGGGACACTAAGGCACTGTTGGTGGAGTTGTGAACCAATCCAACCATTCTGCAGAGCAATTTCGAACTATGCCTACAGGGCAAGCAAATTGTGCATACTCTTTGATCCAGCAATACCATTACTAGGACTGCATCCCAAAGAGATCGTTAAAATGGAAAAAGGATCTACACGTGCAAAAATATTTATAGTAGCTCTTTCAATCGTGGGAAAAAAATTGGAAATTGAAGAAATGCCCATCAATTGAGGAATGGCCGAACAAGTTAAGGTATACGAATATAAAGGAATACTATTCTATTGTGCAATAAGAAATGACGAGCAGGCAGATTTCAGAAAATTTGGAAAGATTTGCATGAACAAATGCAAAGTGAAATGAGCAGAACTAGGAAAACACTGTACATAGTAACAGCAACACTGTATGATGATCAACCATGAATGACTTCTCAGCAACATGATCCAAGACAATTACAAAAGACTCATGATGGAAAATGCTATCCACATCCAGAGAAAGAACTGATGGACTCAGAATGCACATTGAAGCACACTATTTTCACTCTTCGTCTTTTTGTTTATGTTTTCCCCCTTTTGCTCTGTTTATTCTTTTACAACATGACTAATGTGGAAATATGTTTAACATGAAAACGCTATCCACAACTAGACAAAGAACTGATGGACTCTGAATGCAGATTGAAGCATACCTTTTTCAATTACTTTATTTTTTTCGTGGTTTTTTTCCTTTTGGTCTGTTTCTTCTTCCATAACTGTGATTAATATGGAAATGTGTTTTACATGATTGCACATATATAACCTATATCAAATTGCTTACGATCTTAGGAAGACGGGAAGGAGGTAAGGGAGAAAAATTTGGAACTCAAAATTTTATAAAAATGAATGCTAAAAGTTATATTTACATATAATTGGGGAAAAAAATAAAATATTTTTTAAAAAAACAAAAAAATGAAACCAGGAGAAAAAGAAATAGTAGCTAAATAGAAGGACAGCTCTCATGCTTCTCCTGGGAGAAGTGAAATATTCTCATAGCTATTTTCCTTATAATCGTTCTTTAAGTTTATAAGGCAAATTGCCTTACACATAATATTTAATTTTATCCTCACAGGAACCCTGGGAGGTAAAGGCTATTATTATCCCCAGGTCAGAGGTGAATAAACTGAGGCTGACAGAAGTGACTTGTCCAAAGTCACACAGGTAGTAAGTGTCCCAGGCAGGATTTGAATTCAGGTCTTCCTGAACAGAAATACTTCACTAGACACATCATTTAATCCAGCAGTGCTTCCTATAACCAAAAGCAAAAACACTAGAATGAAGCTCACCGTACAGACCTCGAGGGTAGAAGACATCCAAGGAGGAGGGATATTAATTCAATTCACTCATGAAAAAGGTATTTTTCATCCCCTACCATTCCCCCTCTTCTCACTGGGGTTAACTAAGTATATAAGGTGCTAGGGTTCAAATGACTCAGAAAGGAACCCTTCAGATGGGCAGCACGGGGTAATGGATAAAGCACTTTACTTAGCATCGAGGAACCTGGTTTTGAATCCTACTACCTATGTGATCTCAGCAAGACACTTCATCTTTCTAAATTTATTTTTTTATCTGTAAAGTCTGAACTGGGTCAAATAACCTTTAAGGACACTCCCCATCTGTAAAGATGTGAATGTAGGTTATCTTTCAGAGGATGACAGAGAAAAATTTTACAAAAACGTAGAACTAGACAAAACAACAGGCATATTTAACCTGGAGAAAAGAAGAATTAGGGTGATACGATAAATGTTTTCAAGTATTTGCAGGGCTGCTTGTGAAAAGAGGGATCAGACCTGCTGTTTGGCCAGAAAAAGATGACTAAGATGATGAGGGGACTCAAAATCATTTCACATCACATGACGGAAGAGATGAACGCCTAAAGATGGCCAGCCTCGAGAAAAGGTAGAGGGCAGGAGAGAAAAGGAGATCTGCATGATAGCTACCATCAAATATCTCAAGTGCTGTCATGCACAAGAGGAAATATCATTTATTTTATATAAATATAAAATATTTGGAGGGTAGAACTAGGACCAAAGGGTAAGAGCTACAAGGACGCCAAGCTTGGATATTTATGAGGAAAAGCTTTCTAATAACAGAACTATATGACAACAAACCATTCTGACTTGTAAGTCAGTGACCTCACTAGCACTGAAGGGCTCAAGCAGCTGCTGGTCAGGAATAAGAAGTGACTGACACAACTTAAGGAAACTCAGCCTGCACAGCACGTTCTAGAGACTGTGAGACCATTATCCTGGCTAAAGGCAAAGGTCCATGTTGGAAAGGGATGATTGTCTAAGCAGAGTGGAGTCCTGAATAACAGGCTCATGAGTATGAACTTATTCTGTAGGTACTGGAGTTTCTGAAGAGAAGTTCCTGTGACATGATGTTTTCATGTTTTGTTTTGTTTTCAATCAGTCTGGAGGTGGTATGCAAGATGGCACAAGACACTCCATCTCCGAATTCCAGGCATTTTCTCTTGCTGTCCCCCATGCCTGGAATGATCCGCTCCTCATCTCTACCTCCTGGCTTCCCGGGCCTCCTTCAAGTCCCAGATAAAATCCCAGCTTCCACAAGAAGCCCTATCCAGTAGCCCTTAACTGTAATGTCTTCCCTCTATTGATTATTTCCTAATTATCTTGTGTATATCTTATTTGTACACAGTCATTTGTATTATTATCTTCCCCATGAGGTTGTGACTTTCTTTTGTCTTTCCTTGTATCCCTGCATTTAGTACAGTGCCTGGCACTAGTACCAGTACTAGGAGGCTGTTACAGTAAGATATAAACAGTTCATAACTAAACAAAACTGAGAAGATCACATAAGATAAAATGTACAATTCTGATTACATAAAGTTGAAAAGATTTCATATTAATACAACCAATGTAGCTAAAATCAGAGTGGAAGTAGCTAGAGGGGAGAAAAAAATCTTTGCAGCAAATTCCCAGTTTCCAGGTTCTCATTTCAAAGATATAGAAGGAACTAATTTTAAATTTGTAAGAAAAGGAGTCATTCCCCAAATGATAAATGGCAAAAGAATGCAAATAAGCAGTTTCCAAGAGAAGAAATCCAACCCATATGAAAAAATTATCCAAATCACTAAGTAACTCTAGGGTTCCACTTCACACCAATCAGATTGTCAAAGCTGATAAAAAAGGAAAATTAGAAATGTTGGAGGGGTTTCAGGAAAACAGCTATTAAAGCACTGCCAGTAGAGCTATGAATTGATCCAGCCATTTTAGAAATCAATTTGGAACAATACCCAAAAGTTAACAAACTGTGTATACCCTTTGACCTAGTAATACCACTACAAGGCCTATATTCCAAAAAGACCAAGGAAAGAGGAAAAGCACTCATATATAGAGAAATATTTATAGTAGCTCTTTTTATGGTGGCAAAGAACTGGAAACTAAGAGCATTCCCATATAGGAAATGGCTGAACAAATTATAGCACCTAACTGTAATAAAATACTATTGTTACAAGAAATAATGCAAGGGGTGGTTTCAGAGAAACCTAGGGAGACTTGAATAAACTGATACCAAGTGAAGTGAGCAGAGTCAGAACAATTTATACATTAACAACAACAGCATAAATACAAACTACTTTGAAAGACTTTGAGTAATACAATGACCTACTATGACTCCAGAGGATTGGTGATAAAGCAGCTGCCCACCTCCTAACAGAGGTGATAAAACCCAGGGGGTAAATTTTTGAAGGCATTTTTTAGACAAGCCCAATGCAGGAATTTGTTTTGCTTGACTCTTCCTATCAGTTAACAAGGGTTTTTTGTTTTGTTTTCAACTGATAGAAAGGGAAAAGGAGGGAGAGAAAACAGATTTTGTTAACTGAAGAAAAGAAAATTAAAAAAACACATGAAGCAGTGAGGACTACATTACTTCCTTCTCTTTCTGAACACGGCCCCCACACCCTCCAATTAGTTCCAGCCCAGAGTTAAAGCAGGGTCTCTGTAGGATTGACACAAGGTTCCTACAACTCTCTTGACTACGTAGGTCCCTACTTTAGTAAGGCTGACCCTGAAGCAGGGTTGAATTCTTCAACTACATAATCCCACGATTCCCACATATACTCACTTGCATGCTCTGCTGGTACTGTACATTCAGGTTAGATCCCTCCTCCACATCTGGTTTTGAAAGAAAGTTTTCCAAAGTCCTCAGGCAAGAAAGTACAGCAGTATTCTCCTCCTCAAGGTTTTCCATGGTTACTTTCTCTCCTACAAAAAGATAAAAGAAAAGTAAAGGACATCCTTCATAAACACAAGATCTACATGGAAATGGAATGAATATGCAGTGCCTTTGGACAGCTTCAAAATATTCCAATATCCCAATGTTCCTCACAAATTACTCCAGCATTCTTCACAACCTTCCTGTGATCCAGGCTCTTTAATAAGGGGGAAACTGATCAAAGAAAGAAACCCAATGAGAGAAAGGAATGAATTCCCATCATGATTGCATGCCTCTTGGGGGCACACGAAAGAGTGATTTAGTTTAAAGCACAATTAAATTACCCTAATGTGATTTCATGCTTTCTGGCTGACACTTCATGCAAATCCTTTATTCTCCCCTTTTTTAATCACTGTTTCTCAACAGATATTAAAAGGTTAATTCAGATAAGAAACAATAATAAAATTATTATTAATGAAATAAATCTTCCTTTTCACCACCTCTACCCAGCTTAGTTTTTGGAAAAATTACTGAAAAAAAAAAAAGAAAAGAAAAATTACTGGCTGAGTCTGAATATGCTATTTCTCAGATTCATTCTCAATGATGTGTGTACTGTGGTTACATACACAAGCTTTGTAAGTATACTACAAACTTTCTCAACCCCTTTTTTCTCAGAAGCCATACCAAGTGCTTGCCTGGTTTATTCAGCAAGAGAATTATACTTTCTCCTCTAACAGATTTGTTACATTAGATCTTACAAATAAGGTTATATTCTATGTAACTATAATGACCAAGAGGTAAAGAAATGCAGCTCTGTTACTTCACAGAAGATGTGGGTGACCATGGATGTAAAACAGGGCATACACTGGCAGAGAGGTAAATATTTAGGCTGGTTCTGCTAAACCCTTATCTTTTTTTCCCCTTTTTAAAATTTTTATTGTAAGGGAAGAACTCCTGGGTAGGGGAAGTGACAAGGGGGAGCTATTCAAAATTAAATCTGACATAAAACCAAAAAATGGCAATTTATAAAATCCATACAAATTATTTTCAAAGAGTTTATATTCTAAAACTGCATTCCCTTTGGCTCTCATATGTTTCTGCTTGGCAAGGAGATTAAAATGTTTGCTATCAAAGGTTAAGTGCTGGGATCTTTTAGGATTCTCATTATTGCAACTGATTTATATTTGTTCATCTTTGGGAAATGGAGAGGACTCTCAAAGTCTCTTCCATCCATTTCCCATTCTGTCACGTCGACTATTTTTTTAAGTTGGTTGGCTGTCGTCCTTCATTCTCAAAGAGGACCAAAATGACATCACTGTGCTTGAGTCAAGTTACCATGTGGCTGAGCAGACCAAGAGGAGCTCAGAAGGCTCAACCACAGCCTGGCACAAATGGCCCTCGTGAACATTAGGGGTGGATTCTCTAAACCTGCCCATCTTGTGTTTCTCTTGAGCTACTTCAATTCTGTTTCGCTCACAGAAAACAGCACCTTCTCTGATGTGGGGACACCATGCTGAGCAGTCCTGTGCTAGTGTTTCCCATGTCACACAATCCATTCCAAAGAGACCTTGAGAGTATCTTTGTATCGCTTCTTCTAACCACCATGTGAACACTTGTCCTGTGTGAGTTCTCAATAAAACAGTCTTTTTGGCAAGCATACATTTTGCTTTCAAACAACATGACCAGCCAACTGGAGTTACATTCTCTGAAGCAGAGTTTGAATGCTTGGCAGTTCAGTTTGAGAAAGGACCTCAATTTCTGGTATCTTATCCTGCCAGGTGATCTTCAGAATCTTCCTAAGACAAATGGAAGCGATTCAGTTTCCTGGCACGGTGCTGTTATGCTGTCCAGGTTTCACAGGCATACAACAATGAGGTCAGCACAACAGCTCTGTAGACCTTCAGTTTGGTAGTCAGTCCAATACCTCTTCTCTCCCATATTTTCCTCCAGAGCCTCCCAAATACCGAGCTTGCTGTGGCAACTCGTGCATCAACCTCATTATCAATGCGTACATCCCTGGAAAGTATACCACCAAGGTAAGTGAACTTATCCACAGCATTTAAAACCTCTCTCTTTGCTGTAACCTATGATTCTACACATGAATGGTGTGGTGGTGGCTGATGTAGCACCTGTGTTTTCTTGGTGTTAACTGTTAGGCCAAAATTAGCAAAAGCAGCAGAGAATCGATCCATACTTTGCTGCATCTCAGCTCCAGAGGCTGCATGGAGTGCACAATCATCTGCAAACGAAAATCAGACACCAACACTCCCTCCACTTACCATCAGTGTGGTAGCTGACCTTGATGCCATGTTCATCCTCATTAAAAGCACTTGACAACATGGCTGAAAAGGTCATGCTAAAAAGCACTCCCATGGAGTGAAACAAGGCTGTGCGCTTGCTCCCATTTAAGTAACTCAGGGTGGAGTTATCACAATGGCATTCCCCACCTTATTTCTATAATCTTTCTTCTGAGTTGGCTTCAATATTGATCTTTGATCCAATAAATTGATTGGTCTGCTGTTGTTGAGGGAAATGATTATTAATAACCACTAATTTAGGGAAATACAGAGTCCTCCCCTTTTTCTAAAGTTCTGAATTTAAAATTTCAATCTGTTGAAGGACATTGCTAATAATGAGATTAGACTAACTTTCTTGTTCAGACCCCACACAGGTGTAATAAATTGTGTGACAAATTATTAGAACACACTGCTTAAGACTAGGGTTAAGAGCTGAATGACTTGATCAAAGTTCAGGTCCAGCACCTCATTGTAATATTCATTCTCTCATCAATTGTTAGCCAATCAGAATGGGCTGCCATCCTCAAGAACACTCCTTGTGCAAAAGGGGCATTTAAGCCTTCCTTGAGCCTGCCAGCCAAGATGGTCTTTGGTCTAAGAGAGAGTCAAATGATCATCCTTTTATTAAAATGCTGGCATTATTAATAAAAGTATTAAATTACCCAGAAACTGCGTCTCTTGAACCTTTTTAAAGGTCACATTGTTTATCCTTCATTCTCAAACAGGACCAATGACATCAAAAGGGTGATGTTTTCACTTGCACATGAATTTGATTTAAGTGAGGCAGAGCTGTGCAAAGTCATCAGACTCACTCTCTCCTCCAGAGCCACAGGAGTCTAGTGACAAGACAAAAGTCAAGATGATTGGCCAAAGACACAGTGGTAATTTTGGCCTTTTTAATCTAAGGTCTTTCCCAGGTCTCAGTCTGTCTGAGGCAATGCCCATTTAATGATTAAGGGCTAGGTAAGAATTGAGATAAAAAATAGCCTAATTTGCCATAGCAAAAGAATCAATTTGGGAAGGGAAGACCCTCAAAATTTCTGGCCAGAAAATAATTGCTATTTACACTCACTCTGAGCCATCAAAACCGAAACAACGAGCAGGAGAGACTTGGGCTGAAAACTATTATTGGCCATTCAATGAAAGCCATAATGATTTGGGTTTAAAAGCACAGACAGATAACTCCATTTGAAACACAATGCTCTTTTTTTTTCTTTTTTTGCTTTTTGGCTAGGCAATGAGGTTAAGTGACTTGCCCAGAGTCACACAGCTAGTAAGTATCAAGTGTCTGAGGCCAGATTTGAACTCAGGTCTTCCTGACTCCAACGCCAGAGCTCTATCCACTGTGCCACCTAGCTGCCCAACACAATGCTCTTTTTAAAAGTCTGTTATTCCAGAACTATATTTCAAGAAATCATAAATGAAAACTGAGCAAGACAAAGAGTTAATTGTTCCAGTTTTTTGAAAAAAAAAATTAAATAGGAATTTTTTTTAATCTAGCCCCTAAACCCCAAGATATCTTACAAAATATAAGTGACCAAAAATTATATTCCTTTAGACAGAGCACCCACATGTAAGGGTATAATTCCCCACTGCACAGAAAGGGCTAATCTACACTGGGAAATTTTTAAATGGACTCCCACATTAGTAGTCATTTGATATCTATTAAAACATAGCCAATTCCATTTTATTAATGTTATTTGGTACACATTATGTCCAATGCCTCCAAATTCTTTTCTCAATCACCATTAATTATTTATTAAGTGCCTACTATATGCCACACATTCTGCTAAGTATTGTGCTTACACATACAAAGAAATAAATAATCCATACTCTCAAGCTTACATTCCACGGCAAAGGACAACAAATACATATGTATTTATGCACATATATAATTATATAAAGAATAAATATAAAGAGAATACAAATAAATACGAAGTAATTAGATAAAAGGTAGTTTGAGAAGGAGAACACAAGCTTTTGGCAGAATAAGGAAAGGCTTCACGGAGAAGATGGTACTTGAGTTGCATCAATACAGAATAAATAGCAAATAATTACAAAGCAGTTAAATACAAGGTAGTTAGGGAGGAGGGCACAAGCAATTGCGAAAATCAGGAAAGGCTTCATACAAAAGAGGTTGCTTCAGCTACATCTTGAAGGAAGAGAAACTGTCTATGACACTTATGTGAAAGGACATTACATTTTAGGCATGGGGAAAAGGCAATACAAAGGCAGGGATGAGATTCCACACCACTCATAAGAACAGACACCAATTCAGTAGTATGATAGAATGAAAGAGGTAAGTAATATACAATGAGGTGGGGGAAAAACAGGTGGGGACCAAGTTGTCATTGTTTCGGTTTTGATGGCTCAGAGTGAGTGTAAATAGTGTAAATTTCCTAGAGGCTCCCTAGGGAGTTTATTCAAAAGGAGAGTGACAGTGAAATTTGTGCCTAAGGAAAACTGATTTAAAGCAGGAAGATCACTTAGGAGGCTGTTGCAATAATCTAGGTGAGAATGGAGGAGGCCATAGCCTAAGGTGTTAGCTCTGTGAATAAGGAGAAGGGTTTGGATACAAGAGATGTTGTATAAGTAGAAACAGCAAGATTTTGCAAACAACTGGATATGTGGGGTAAAGAGTCAAGAATGACTATGAAGTTCCAAACCTGGGAAACCAGAATAACATTGACGCCTTTGACAGAAATAAAGAAGCTGCTCAAAGAAGGGAGAGAAAGAGATTAAGTTCTGGTTTAGATATGCCAAATCTCAGATGGTTTCAGAGCATCCAGTTTTAAATGTCCCATTGGTATTTAAGACATACAGTCATGAGGCTTTATGTAGAGTCTACGAGCCTTTTTGGCCTCTTTAATTTTTTAATCAAGAACCATGTTTTTCACTGTCCTCCCTGATATTAAAGTATGTTGATTTAATTTGGAGTCTTGACCAGTTCGTCATAGAATTTCTCTTCCTCTTCTTCCTTTAAAACAGAGAGTGGTACATAAGCTGAAATTATTTTAATGGTGCCTCTACCTACTTCAATCCATCCTCTACCCAGCTGCCAAACTGATTTTTCTAAAGTGCAAATTTAATCATGTCACTCCCCTATACTATGAAATCCAGTGGCTTTTTTTACCTTCAGGAAGAAATATATGCTACTCTGCTTGGCATTTAAAGCTCTTTGTAAACTGGCTCCAACTGACTTTTACTGGACATTATTACCCACATCTACATATATTGGACAGCTTGGTGGCGCCACAGTGCACAGAGAGTACCAGGCCTGGAGTCAAGAAGACTCATCTTCCTGAGTTCAAATCTGGCCTCAGACATTTACTACCTGTGTGACCCTGGGCAAGTCACTTCACCCTGTCTGCCTCAGTTTCCTCATCTGTAACATGAGCTGGAAAAGGAAATGGCAAACCACTTCAGTCTCTTTGCCAAGAAAACCCATATGGGGTCATGAAGAGTCAGACACAACTAAAAAGACTGAACAACCACACACATATATTGTATTCCAGGGAAATTGGCCTTCTTGCTATTCCTCAATATACGGCATTCAATCTTCTGCTTTTACACTGGCTGTCCTCCAGGCCTGCAATGTACTCCCTCCTCACCTCTCTCTCTCAGAATTACCATCCATACGTGGAACCACTGGTTACAGCAAACAGAGAAGTTCTGAATGCTGTGGATAAGTTCACTTACCTTGGTGGTATACTTTCCAGGGATGTACGCATTGATAATGAGGTTGATGCACGAGTTGCCACAGCAAGCTCGGTATTTGGGAGGCTCTGGAGGAAAATATGGGAGAGAAGAGGTATTGGACTGACTACCAAACTGAAGGTCTACAGAGCTGTTGTGCTGACCTCATTGTTGTATGCCTGTGAAACCTGGACAGCATAACAGCACCGTGCCAGGAAACTGAATCGCTTCCATTTGTCTTAGGAAGATTCTGAAGATCACCTGGCAGGATAAGATACCAGAAACTGAGGTCCTTTCTCAAACTGAACTGCCAAGCATTCAAACTTTGCTTCAGAGAGCACAGCTCCAATGGGCTAGTCACATTGTTTAAAAGCAAAATATATGCTTGCCAAAAAGACTATTTTACGGAGAACTCACACAGGACAAGTGTTCACATGGTGGTTAGAAGAACTGATACAAGGACACTCTCAAGGTCTCTCTTAAGAACTTTGGAATTGAGGCTGCTAGGTAGCACAGTGGATAGAGCACTGGCCCTTGAGTTGGGAGGACCTGAGTTCAAATCCGGCCTCAGACACATAACACTTACCAGCAATGTGACCCTGGGCAAGTCACTTATCCCTATTGCCTAGTCAAAAAAAAAAAAACCTTTGGAATCGATGGTGTGACATGGGAGACACTGGCATGGGAGACTGCTCAGCATGGCGCCCCCACATCAGGGCAGATGCTGTCCTCTATGAGCAAAGCAGAACTGAAACAGCTCAAAAGAAATGCAAGATGCACAGAATAAGAGAATCCACCCCAAACGTTCACAAGGACCATCTGTGCCAGACCTGTGGTAGAGCTCTTACTGGTCTGATCAGCCACAGTGGGACACCCTGTGACTCCAGCATAATGATGTCATTTTGGTCCTCTTTGAGAAGGAAGGCCAACAACCAAACAGTTTCTTGCAAGTTTCAATATAATCACCACCTTCAACACTGTGCCTTCCTGAGACCCCTCAGCCACTACTGACTTTCCTTCATAATCACTTCATATCTACCTTGTAAATATCTACATAAGTACGCTTTGTCTCGCTGGGTTAGATAAGTAAATAAAAAGAATACACATAATTACAAAGTAGTTAAATACAAGGTAGTTAAGGAAGGAGGGCACAAGCAATTGTGAAGATCAGGAAAGTCTTCAAACAGAATGGGTTGCTTGAGTTGCGTCTTGAAGGAAGAGAAGTTGCCTGTGAGACAGAGGTAAAAAGATAGCACATTCTAGACATGTACAGGAGATAGCACAAAGGCAGAGATGAGATTCAGGACCACATGTGAGAACAAAGACACCAATATGACAGATCACAGAGTGAAGGAGGGGAAGAAATTCATGAAAGTAAGAACTGCTTTTACCTTTGTCTTTGCATCCTCAGTGCCTAGGCACATAGGAGATTATTAACTTCAAAAATATAAGGGAGCTACAGCTAAACAAAAATGACCATGAAAACAATCTGTGAACTTTAGTGGATTGTAAGCTCAGTGAGATGTAGCATCCTAGGCTACATTAAGAATAAGAGAGGTAACAGTTCCATTGTACCATGTCCCAGTCAGACCACATCTAGAATACAGTTTTCAGTTTTGGATACCAATTTCTGGGAAGGACCTAAAAACTTGAACACTTAGAAGAGAACAAGCAGGACAGCAAAAGGAAGAAACAATAACACAAGTACTAGTTAAAGGAACCATGTGGAAAAAAGAAATTTAAGAAGGATGATAGCAGGCTTCAAACATCTGAAGGACTGTCATGTGGAAAAAGATTCTGACTACACTGCTTGGCTCCACAAGCGAGGGACTTCAGACTACAGGTGTTATTAATTGCAGAACCATAAAGTTAGTCTGTAAGGAAAAACTTCACAATCGCAGGATATAGAAAGGACTACTTCATCAGGTAAGGGTTTCCCCCATTAGAGGCAGGATGAGTACTTTCCAGTTAAGAGGCAATTCTTTGTCAGGAATGACTGAACTAGGTGGCCTCAAAGGTCCTTTCCACCTTTACTGCGATCTTGTAAAACATGGCTAACAATACTTAAATCAGATACTTCTCAAGGTTTTTGTCGGAAAATGCTTTGTAACCCTTAGGAAACTAGATCAATTACACCATTCAAGGGATCCAAAGGAAATCTCCCATAGTGAAACTGACCAAAAAGGAGGGAGCAATAAGGAAGCTGGTGGCCCAGGATACAATTAGATCGGCCTTCTTAAACTGGGGTACCTGAATTTGGTTTTTTCACATATATATTTTGAGAATCATTATCAATATAAGTGGTTTCCTTTGTAGTCCTACTTCTAATCAGTTTAATGAAGTATTTTATGTATTTAAAAGCATTATTCTAAGAGGTTCATAGGCTTCACCAGACTGCTAAAAGGGTTCCTTGCATAGAAAAAGTTTAGAATGTTCATATTAAATGTTATGGAGAAAAGACTTTCCAAGATTCAGACAGTGATACAGGAAAGAAGGTTAAGTTTGAGCCCGGTGGCCCAATAAAATGAAAGCAAGAGAGTGGGCAACTGCTCATTTCTTTATACAAGAAAAGGCTAAGGTGAAGGTAGAAGGAAAGGCAAAACTTTTATGCAGATTACTTAGCTACAATAGTTGATCACGTGTATAAAGGCCTCCAAGATTTTTATAACTCAGAGGCTCCACAAGCATGTGAAAAGCACCTGCTATGTACCAAGCATGAGCTGGAGTTACTCTTTTGCTAACTCACAACAATTCTGTGAGGTAGGTGCTACTATTATTCCCATTTTACAGATGTGGAAACTGAAACTCAGGAGCATTAAGTGGGTTTCTCAGTCTCAAACAGCTCCGGAGCACCTGAGACAAGATTCAAACCCAGATCTTCCAGGCTCCAGGAGGGTGGCTCTAACCACTTAAATCACGATGCCCAGGCCTGAAGATGCGGGGACCCCCGGGAAGACCGAGCCCCTGGTCAGGCTTGGGGGTGCGGGGAACCGCGGGAGGACCGAGCCCCTACCCAGGCTTCGGGGTGCGGGGACGCCAGGGAGGACCAAGCCCCTGCCCAGGCTTCGGGGTTCGGGGATCCCTGCACAGCCGGGAAGGCGGAGGAGGGAGGCACGGTACTGTTTCCTCCGCATCTACGTGACCCCTCGGCTAGCTCCAGCTCCCTGGGCCGGGCCCAATGAGGAGCATCCCCCATAACCGCCCGCCCGCGGGGCCGTGCCCAAGGCGTTCACCCACCTAGCCGGAGCCCCAGCCGCAGCCGCTCCGCCGCTCAGATCTCCCTCCTCTCCTCCCGAGCCCACCTATCGCGAGAAGAGCTTCTGCTTTACGGGATCCGGGTGCCAATTACTGCCCTTTTCCTCAAATACATGCCTCCATACGGCGTCTTCCGAGGGACAAACTTCTCTACTGGAAGGCGTGTTATACGCAAGCGTTGTGAAGCTCCTCCCTCAGTGGCGCGGAACTTAAACGAATTGCTGGAGACCTAGGCTGGAGATCCCTGAGTCTTCCCGCAAAGTGCCTAAGGATTTGATTCGCTCACTTTTCCGGCCCCCATCTGACGCTTTTTGCAGACAGTGAAAGAAGTGTTAGTCCACGAGGGCATTTTGTTTCTTTTTGGTTTTGCCCCCATCATTCCAAGAAAATCTGAATTTCACTTGTTTCTAGCGCTCTTGCAAAAGCTTCCGGCTTCCACGCAAATTTGCATTGGGCTGTGTTTTGAGGGGTTTTTGTTTTTTGGGTTTTCTTGGCCTTTCTTTGTCTCTCAACTGCTTGCCTTAGTCTCTGGCACCTAGTAGGTGCTTAAGAAGCACAGGATGGTTAGTTGACTTTAAAGGCATGGAACACAGAACAAGTTGATTACCCAAAACAAAAAGATACAGAGAGGGCTGAAACCCAGCCAGCACTTCTCAAACGCGTATTATGTGCTAGGCACTGTTCTGAAAGTTGGGGATGCAAAGAAAGGTTAAAAAAGTAAAAAATTTTTTTAAAAATCCAGTCCCTGATATTCAGGAGCTACGTGCCCTGTTTATGTTTTTGCTTTACCAAGCCCCAACCTTGGCTGTCGTCCTTTGCTTTCTGTTCACATGTTCCTGAATGGTAGTGGAGGAAGTCACAGCATTGCTAGCTGAGTCTACTACAAATATAAATTATCTAATCTCAATTGGTTTTCGTGGTACATCATTTTGGCATAGACGTGACTCTGAAGGTTTAAACTCAAGCACCTCTGTGTTTTCTGTGTCGTTATTTATGTTTAAAATCAAACTAGCCTTTTCCTGAAGTCACTATCATATACCTATGAATGTTTTCTGTCTGTTTGCCCATTAACCTGTCGTTTTCTTTGTGTGTTTCTCTGTGCCTGTGTGGCTCTCAGAGCCTTTGTCATTGTAAGTGTGCACACCCTTGTCAACCACTGTGGATGCTTTGAGCTTTCAAAAACATCTGATCAAAATTGGAAATGTAAGGATTGGATTGACAAGAGAAAAACAAGTGTGTAAGGAAATGTTAGAATTTTTAATTGCATATACTTACAAGTTTTGCAAATTACAGTGAAGTAGGAATTGATTTAGAAATAACTTTTGAAATGGTGTCTATTTTGAATTTAGAAATTTTGCTGTAAATTATGAGACTCCTACAAATTTTTATAACAGATTCAGATTTATTATTTCATAGCTAAGAAGAAAGGAGACCTCCAGATGAAGCCCTCCCACTTTGTGCCCAGTATCTTTAATTTTAGTTTCAAATGGGATTGATAGCCTCCCACCAGTCCTAAATTATGTCATCTCTCAGGAGGAAATTTTGGCTAAATTTAACTTAAACTGGAATATTTACTAAAAACTTCTTCCCTTTGTCTAACCAAGGTAATGTGATTTTTACTACAGATGCAAACCTTTTTTGCCTTCCGCTCTCTCCACTTGGAGAAATAATGCCCCTGGGTCTGAGGAGAATTCAGGAGCAGTGACAGATCATTTTAATGATTGAAAATACATAACTGATTTAATGATGACTTTGCTCTCTCCCCAAGTAAAAGGCAGGCAGTCATAGAGGCAGTTAATAGGTAAGCCTCAATGGAATGGGGGAATCTCCAATTGTCCTTTATAAGATTCCCAATGGCACCCCAATTACAACAGATTGCAGCAGACCCGGTGATTTTTCTTGAGGGCTTGGATATTTGTGCAGCTTCCCCCAGAAAACTGGAATAGGTTTCAGAAGACAGTACAAAAGGAGGGTGAGAATCTTCCTCATTTTTCACACTAGGCTATGCAAAAGTGGTAAATTATATTGGAGACTAAGACCTATTCCAAGAGATGCTCGGATCATTTGCACCCATTTTGTTAATCAATCCTTGCCTGAAATATGAAAGCATTTCAAAAGTGTTTCTACTTCGGGAAAGAAAGGTGTCTTTCTATTGTTAAGTTAAGCAGAGGAAATTTAACAAGTGCTAACTAACTGAAGCTGAGTATGGAAATGAATTTTGTTGTAACTCAGAGAAGCACTAGCTAGTGGTTAAGTGTGCTACCTTATTATCCTTAAAATCCACCCATGAACTATTTAAAGACAAGATATCCTAGCCAGATTTTAGAATTCCCTACTCTCTGAAGGTATTCTGTTCCCTACAAATTGCCTACCCCAATCAGACCAATGTGTTTAAAACTGCAAAACAAGTTTTTGTCTTTTAAGATGTTTTGACCAAGGTTTCTCTACAGTGGCCTTAAATGCAATCACTTTAGAGTTTCAGCAATTTGTGTTTAAAATGTATATTACTGTTGTAAAAGCTGTTTGTATGTGAATTACAACTCTTTTGACATTTGATTTACAAAATATAAACTCTCCAGATTCTGAAAAGTGAAAAGTATGAAAAACAGAGAAGAGAGTATGATTTAATTTGGAAAACTGCTGTGAGTTGATCCCTGTAGGTAACATAACAGATCTCTATTTTTGTTTGGGCAACACTTTTGTAATCTGTTAACAGGGTTGTGAGTAGACACAACCCCAATCTTGTGTTTCAACAGGAACATAAACCACTGCATGCCTCCTAAAAGTTTTTGTAATCACTAAAAACATCTTAATGGTTTTCTCTGTAAAAGAGGATTTGCCCCACAAACTTCTAGGTGACACAGTGGATAGAGCTCCAGCCTTGGAGTCAGGAGAACCTGAGTTCAAATCTGGCCTCAGTCACTTGACACTTACTAACTGTGTGACCCTGGGCAAGTCACTTAACACAGATTGCCTCACCAAAAAGAAAAAAAAAACTTCTGAGATTAAGAATAGGCAGTACAGTGGAGCTCTTTTGATTTCCTAGAGATCATCTGAATTATAGCTAATGAAGCAACAGGTTATAATTGTGATAGGCAAACTAATGAAAAGAATTCCCTGGGTTGAAATTAACTCTATAGCTTGGAAAAGTAGAATTGTAGTGACATCAGTTTAACAACAGTATGTGCAATCTGAGATAGGGTTGAAATGTAAAGGAAAATTGGGTAGTCTGTGTAATGGGTGTGGAAAATTTGGAAAGAGAAATAAAGGCTTTAGAGAAAATATGGAAGTTAGATACGGTTTGGAGACAAATGGGGGGACACACTCTGCACACAGCTGGCAGGCAGCTGCAAGCCCGCATCCTCCAATCCCCTCCTGTCTCTGGACAGTTACTCTTTCCCTTGGACTGGCTTCGGATGAAGAAGGTGTGAGGAAGTTTGACTCTGTTTAAGTAGAAAGATTGAAAATGAACATTTTATAGCTTGATGTGAAGGTCAACAGACAAAGTTATAGAGGGTTTAGAGAAATTTGATAAGCAAGGTGTTCCTAAGTCTGAGAATTGGGGTGGATTACTACCACTTTTTTATTAATTAATTTTTAGTTTTCAACGTTCACTTCTAAAAGATTTTGAATTCTAAATTTTCTCCCTCACTGTTCACTCCCCCATCCCTAAGATAGCTTGCAATATGATATAGGCTATACCTATACAATCACATTAAACATATTTCCACATTAGTCATGTTGTAAAGGAGAATTAGAACCAATGGGTGGAACCACAAGAAAGAAGAAATAAAACAAGAGAGCAAATAGTATACTTCAGTCTGCATTTAGACTCCATAGTTCTTTCTCTGGAGAAAGAGAAATATTAGTAGAAAGGAATGGTAAGTAAAAATCTTTTATATGATTTTTAGAAGGCCTGATAAATTTTAGCCAATTTATTGCAACAGCTTAAGAGGATTGACAACAATTGTACCGAGCCCCACTGTGATTAGTGAGACTGGTTGTTGTTGTATTTTTTTTTATAATTTTTTTAAAATTTTATTTATTTTGATTTATCAACAATCACTTACATATGCTTTTGAGTTGAAAATTTTTCTTCCCCTTCCTCCCCCCCCTCCCCAAGATGGCGCACAATCTGATATAGGCTTTACATTTACATTCCTATTAAACATATTTTCACATTAGTGAAGTTGTAAGTAAAAATTAAAACCAATAGGAGGAACCATCAGAAAGATGAAACAAAACTCAACAGAAGGTAAAAATAAGTGATAGCAATTCGACTTCCATAGTTCTTTCTTTGAATGTGGACAGCATTTTCCATCCCGAGGCCTCTGGAGATGTCTTAGATCCTCGTAATGCTAAGAAGGGTTCAGTTTAACAATATTAGTCATCGTATAACGTGGCATTGTGTACAAAGTCCTCTTGGTTCTACTCACTTCACTCAGCATCAGACCATATAAGTCTTTCCAGGTTTTTCTGAAGTCAGCCTGTTCATCATTTCTTATAGCACAATAGCATTCCATTATATTCATATACCACAACTTGCTCAGCCATTCCCCAATGGATGGGCATCCTCTCAATTTCCAATTCTTTGCCACCACAAAAAGAGCTCGCTATGAATATTTTTATACATGTGGGTCCTTTTCCCATTTGTTTGATCTCTTTGGGATATAGCCTTAGAAGTGGTATTGCTGGATCAAAGGGTATGCACATTTTTGTAGCCCTTTGGGCATAGTTCCAAATTGTTCTCCAAAATGGTTGGATCATTTCACAACTCCAGCCACAATGTATTAGTGTACCAATTTTCCCACATCTTCTCCAACATTTATCATTTTCCTGTTTTGTCATGTTGGCCAATCTGATAGACGTGATGTGGTACCTCAGAGTTGTTTTGATTTGCATTCCTCTAATCAAAAGTGATTTAGAGCATTTTTTCATATGACTATAGATAGCTTTAATTTCTTCATCTGAGAACTGTCTGTTCATATCCTTTGACCATTTATCAATTGGGGAATGGCTTGTGTTCTTATAAATTTGTCTTAATTCTCTATATATTTTAGAAATGAGGCCTTTATCAGAGAGAC